TCAGATCCATGTAATATGATGTTTTTATTTTTTTGAATAAACTAATTAGGTACCATGGAGGAATATATATAAAGGCGCCGATGACTATGATGGACATACACGATTGAAGTCAGACCTTAATGACCCTGAAAAGGAATATATTTCCAAAATTTTGTTCCATTAAATCGCATTGTACTTCAACAAACATTGATAAATACTCGCTAATAATTGGTAACCTTGTCAATGTTAAAAAGTGAACTTTTTGTGCATATTTGAGTCGTCTTTTTTGTTTATTTTATGTATCACTTCTGTATATCACGGAGTTTGAACTTCGTCAATAATGTGACTGGATATTACTTTCATAAGTGAGTGTAGTATTATTATATTTTATTTGTAGATAATGAAAAATAAAAACTGTAAACTATGTCCCTTGTGATCAGACTGTCAGGAAAACATGGTTAAATTGAGTCATTGAAAATAGTTAAATTGTGGATAACATCAGTAAGCATAGTCTATTATGTACAAGTCATTTTGATGCACTTCTGTTTATTGTTCATAACAACACTAGAAGACTATGAAAAGACACAGTCTCTTATATTAAGATATCAAGCGTGAGTGTTTAAAAGTTTTGAATAAATTACTTGTGTAAAAGTATCTATACAAATTATATTACAATTACGTATATACCCGATACTATTAATAATTTTATTTTTTAAATTTTGGTCAAAACATTTTTATCCTGAAATTAGTGAGATTGGTCAGAACTCTTCTGTTCCATTTAGTTTGAATGTTGAAAAATATTTAATTAAGGTTATGGTTTATTTATTAAATGTGTTACCTATTATAATATTTTTTTTATTAACTTTTAGTTGCCTACCAACAAAACTGATAACTGACAATCTGTGACATAAGTTGAAGAATTGTCATCATTATCAATGTTAATAGTTTAAGTCTTAGTTCTTCCATAAATTTGCCTGCAGAAAAATGTATCTATTTGATGAAACTTAGCAGTCTAATATAAGCCTTGAGATGTCTTTGGAAAATTCTTCAGTCAATGTGAGTTTTCTAACAAATTATAATTTATATACAAGTTAATTATGTTAAACTAATATTATTTTTATATTTGTATGGCCATTATTATATCAATTTTTGTTACTTAGTTACCAAGTCGATCCAGAACAATTAACTCCACTGTCGAAAACTAGCTGTGAAAATTTTATAATTCAAGAAATTTTAATATCCATAATTAATATTAGGTGTATTTTATTAATTCGTAATCATAATTTGTGTACTGTCTCTGATGAGAATAAATCAAAACGACTGCTATTGAAGTGTAGTGTTATTTGGTGTAAATGAAATATTGTTGTTATTATCTTATTATTGATGATGCCTTAGATATACTATTGGATTGGTTTACTTTGTTAGGTATCTACTACCATAGAATAGTTGTCACTCTATGCTTACTATCTATATCCAGGGAAGGACACAAATACAAAATATGTAGGTATTTTATTATAACTCTGATTTAATATTATCATAATAATTGAAACATTTTTAGAAATTGGTTGTCTATTTAAAGTAAAATCTAAAAACATTGCTATTTATCTAGGTACTATATAGGTATTAAATTATTGTATTATAAAATGACATATATTGACAAAGCATCACTCTGCTCAGAACCTTTTTTTAAAAATAGTTTATTGTTGCTTACAGGTATACATTAAATTATCTATAACAGTGTCTGCACCTGTCCCCATTATCCTAGGAAGTCTTTTTAAAGTCAAATTTATCTCAACATTTATCCTTGAATTAAAATTGTAGTATATTATTATAATATTATATATATGATATTAAGAATTTCATTTAGTGAAAAATTGAACTACTGATAACAGCAATGGAAAGTTAATAAATCGCTGGTTAACATCTATAATAAATAATAATGTGGCTATCAATTTAAATATTGAGGAAAAAGAATTTATACATTACAAAAGGTCAATTTAACTAAATGTCTTATTTATTTTTCTGTGTGTTCTAAAATTTTATGTATATATAATGTAGGTCACATACTAAACGAAAATACCATATTTTTTATATATTTTTATTGATGCCTGAAGTCCATAAAATATATAATATAGTAGTTTTTTTTTTTACAATTTAGTACATTTTGCTTAAAGATATAATAATCATTTTTTAGCCGTCAGTAAATATTTTTTTAACTTTAATTTTAAGGCCTATAATCTGTAAATTAATTATTACAGGAAGTATGCATGCAAAAATATATAAAATACCTTGTCATAGATACATGATAAAAGTAGCCACCCAATGGTGTCTACATCACTTTCTCTTTAATCGACCAGGGGGATTATCAGGATTTGAGTCAGTATCTAGAGCACAGATTAGTGGATTGGAGTGGTTTTTTAATCGAGAACGGAAACGTTTATAAAGGATTTTGGCAGTTTCATCTACTGTATTAATTCTTGGATCTGTATGAAGGGTGATTAGATACATAAAAAGGGCATTAGTGATTATGCGGAGGGTTGTGGATTGGGAAGTTTGAATTTTATGTGTTTGATTTTTTGCGGTGCCTTATAACTGTATCCAAATGAGAATTAATAAAGTTTTATATAGAAGTAATTTTGTTTTTGTAACAAGTTTAGAGTATTTACCAAGTAAGAATTGTAGTGATTTACATCTAGAGTTAAGGAGGATTTTTTTCTTTCTTATTTGGTTTGCCCAGGTTAATAGTTGATCTAGAAACAAACCCAAATAACTTGACCTCGAGGATTTTTGAAAATTTTGGTTGTTTAAATTTATAGGTGGTACAGTTCCACGTTTCAATGTAAAACTTAGATGGAAAGATTTTACATGATTTATTATAATTTTCTACTTGTCCTACCAGGGAGACATGAGGTTTAGGTGTTTTTTTGTAGATTCATGCCAGCAAAATTGGATCTTTGTGTATAGAGTATAGCTGTCAGTATATGGAAAACAAACATTTAATTATAAAAAAATCATAAGAACTTTTTTTAAATAATTACTCTTTAATTAGTTATATTATGAGAAAGGGAATAGTTAAAAATTGTGTAGAATTAAGTAAAATATATGATTCACATTGACTTTTTAAATTTATGTAAGCTATTCATTTGTGTTAATTATTTAGAACTTTCCATTGAAAATTGTTTAGGGCTTCACCAGTTATGACTATAGACATAATTTCTTATTTTATATAATGTACAATATTATTATTATTTATATGTTAATTCTTTTTTCTTCTGATCATTTTGATTTAGATGTTTTATACATAGGCTTTCCAAAAAACATCCAACAAAAATTATAAGGACGCATTAGGAGCCTGGTTAAGACAGGCTAATAAGCGCGTACCAAATAAAATTTTATCAGAACAAGACATTGCATTTGTCTTTTAAAAGTGATTTTTTTTTTTCATTATTTAGATATGTAATTGTTTAAACAGCTATTTATGATTATTTATCCTAGATTATGTAACTATTCAATAATTATTATATTCAGAATTCGATTACCATTGCGTTTTGTATATTTTCAAATACGTTAGAAATGTACACGAAATACAAAGTACAAATTGTATACAATATTTTATTGTTATCTATACAAATATTTTGTGAATTGCACTTTTGTCCGTATTAATAAATAAATAAATTACAATTTTTTTTTTGTCAACATCACAAAATATAAAACGACTATAGGTACCAGTACTAATACCTGCACACCTATAATATAAGTCGATAAACGCAGAAAGCAAAATATTATATTATTACAGAAATCGTTTTTTGTATAAGAATTGAGGACGGGTTGGACCACACGAGTGCGCTACGGATACGACTGGGCATAATAAATAATACTATGTAAATTACATCGATAAAAAACCCGAACGAAAATTGAATTGCGAAGAACATGTTTTATTTGCGAATAGGTACAGATAATAATAAGATATAATAATTAAGTGTATAAATACCCGTACCTAATCGTTATGTTGTTCGAAATGTAAGTACCTAGAAACACAAAATCGAATTTTGTTATGGTTTTCGTTGTTATCAATCCGACCACACGAGTATGCAGAATGAGTATAAATGTAAATACAACGAATTCGTACACGGAGTCTAATTTTTCTGACAATAATAATATTGTTACTACTATCAATATATTTAATGTATTTAATCACAGATTATCCGTATATCGACACACTATCTCACTGGTGCTACTTCAGTATTGTTAATTTATTATTTTATTTTTACAATTTAGAGTAATTTCTGTGTATTTTCCGTCACTTTACCCAAAAAATAGAAATAAATCTTCATCAAAAGTAATCAATTTCGATTTTATTACANTACAACGAATTCGTATATATAATAATTTTGTACTACTATCAATATATTTAATCACAGATTGTCTGTATATCGACACACTATTTCACTGGTGCTACTTCAATATTGTTAATTTATTATTTTATTTTTACAATTTAGAGTAATTTCTGTGTATTTTCCGTCACTTTACCCAAAAAATAAAGAAATAAATCTTCGTCTAAAGTAATCAATTTGGTTTTTATTACATAGTTTTCATACGTGAAGATAAACTAAGTGTAAAATAGATGGAAATATGAAATGATTTCTATATTCCCAACCACAAGAGTACGCTAGGAATATAATTAGGAGAATTTTATTGGTATGCCTTTTTTTTTTTTTTTATAGTATACAACTCAATTGCACATATATTTTAATAAAGTAAAACTCAACATCAATTTATTAGGTGTTAAATGTTGGTTTTGTACTATTTGTCTGCTTTTTAGACTCGCCGTCTATAATTTTTAATATTTTGATGGATCATATAATAACTTTAAATGACAACAGTACTTAACTGACTAAATAGGTACAACAAATTACTTACTTACTTTCACGATTCAAAAAGAAAATCTATTATTTGTTTGCAACGTAATATTTTATGAAAATCTTGTTGTGGGATATATATCTTTCTACTTTTGACATTAAATTTCAAGGTTTTTCTTCTGTCGTCCACAATATTATTTTACAATTGTTTAAAATACCGCTTTCAAAAGACCATTAACATCGGGACGAAAATTATTGGCAATTACCTCGAGTTAATAATGTATAATGTACGTATCTTTACTACACAATAATTATATTCTATAGATTGAAGTATTGTNAATAAATAATACTATGTAAATTACATCGATAAAAAAACCGAACGAAAATTGAATTGCGAACATGTTTTATTTGCGAATAGGTACAGATAATAATAAGATACAATAATTAAGTGTATGAATACCCGTACCTAATCGATTTATTCAGGGATTGACATTCATTCAAAAGAGCGTTTCCCCGGACCAGTGCATTTACTACAAACAATATAGATAATTATCTATTGACAGTACAGTGAATGATCTCTTGTCCGATAATAGTTTCGTTCATAAACAATCATTATGCCCGGAGTACACGGGAAATTAGAAAAATGTAGGTACCTATAAATCTACCCTATCATATCTGAGCCTATAGGAAAAGCAGTTTAAAGTGTCAAATGTAGGCGGTTCACTTACTTAGCATCGAAAAGGAGATGCGTGAATACGCTTTGAAATATTAGTCCGAAAAGAATCTTATTAAAATTGATACCGCCGCTAACGAAGCCGCTCAAGTGGCGGCACTACTGGGATCAGGGATGCGATATTGCGACGTTGCACGGCGACTAAACCTGAACCGTTTTGCCGTTCGACGGGTTTTCCAACGGTGACCGGCGGCTTCATCCGGTGGCGTGGATCAGGCCGTCGACGTTGCAAAAACCGTAAGCGTAATCTCGTTGTTGGGGGGGTGGGGGGTGCAAAGGGTGCACTCGTACCCCCTTGAATTTTTGTGGTGTGCAATACGATCATTTCGTGCTCCCACTAACTAGGGCAGTATGTTATTTCGTGTGCGGTTTGTTAATATGCGACCGGGTCGGCTTTCCGAATACGTCTTTTATCGTTTTTCGTACAAGTGATATTCACCGCTAATAAATGGCGATTGTGATACCACAAAATAGATTTTTAGTGGATACTTCGTGAATACGTGAACGCGAAAATTGTTGCTATGTTATCAATAATCACTAGGGAATGGATTTATATGCACCTAAAAACAGAAAACAAAGCGGTTAAATCGTTAAAAAAAAACTTCAAAATATTTAAAAAAGTAAAAGTTTTATTGTGGTTTTAGTCCCATCTTTAATAGTTCTACTTTGGGGGGACTATTTTAAACCCCCTATTTTTACCTATTACTCTTTTAAATATTTTTAAGTGACTTTTTTTAAACCTTTTAGACGTTTTTAAGCGCTTTTTATGGATTTTAAGTGCGTATGAATCCGTTCCCTAACGATTATACATTTAGTCTTTGTGAGCCATTTTACTTACGAGAGCTTATATTAATATTTAGGTATTATAAAACTTAAATATATCTCTCAAGCGCTATATTTTTGTGTAGCACGTCCTCTTAAACATTTTAAACGTTATAACGTTATAATGCTGAAAGTGTTTAAACGTAAAACGCTAAATTGTTCATAACGTTTTAATTGTTAATAACGTTAAACGGAAAAAATGTATAAACGTTTAAACGCTTAGATTGGATAACGTTTAAATTGTTTATAACGTTAAACATACAATTGCTCATAACGTTTAGATTTCCTATAGCAATATTATTTTTTTTGGTTTAAGCCCTGGTCCCTATACCTATTATGTACTACAATTTTTCCGATTGGAGCGCTGGCGACTGATTGAAGACCGGAAATCAATAATGTGCTAAATGCAAACAATAGTTGATATTGAGTTATTATTGAATTTTGTTTTACCAGCAGCCCCGGCACATAGCACCCACATCATTTTGTTGGGCCTTGTCTACTACTATGATGGTCGCGGTACATAATGCTCTTTATAGGTTGTTGGCGATTGCACAGAGCTCAGAATTTTTCGAATCTAATTCAATATTTTTTCCCCTTTTTTGGCACTTGGCCTTCAAATAAAACGATTCTCCATCGTTCCCGTTTTTCCTCCGCTACTTCTACACAGACTTCGTGCCATAGTTTCATTAGTGTATCCTAAATTCTAGTTAACCAATAACTTGTATAGCGTACACAATCATACCGCGGTTTAATAATAATTTCCGATTGATTTAAAATGTATAAAGATTTCGACTGGGTCGCTCTGAGTACACATACGGATCCCGCGGTTTGTTAATGGTTCGCCGGTTTTCTTTTTCGTTATTTTTCTATCTTTATTGGCCAGGGGAGGTGAGCATTATAATTATTAACGCGTCGTATCTTTCATCACCTGTGCGCGCGTTTTAATCATGTCGAATTTTACGACAGGCGAGTACGTGGATTTGAAAGAGAAAAAAAAACCCACGCGAATTGATGTTTGCGCGGGGATCCGACAGAAAGGGAGAAAACGGGGTCCGCATATCTCGTCGTATTGTGTCGTGCACGTGTGTCGCGTCCGGGAGCGCACGGTCCGCCGCCTCCTTTCAGCGTTCTTTACGTGCGCACAAAACGCGATGGCCAATTACACGTCACCCACGGCAGAAATCAATGTGGTAAACGGTGGAAGTAAATGCATAAAACAATAATACGTAAAACACGCCACGTGACGACTTCCGGTCGGCTTCACACTACGCGCCCTCGTGCCCTCCCCGCCTAACCTTGCCCGACTGTATATTGTCCAACCTAATAATGTTATAATTTTATATGACTGAAAAAAAAAAAAAAAATCGAAACGTCCGAAACCTACAAAAGTTTAGATAGGTGACTTATGCATAGTTTTAAAATGATTTCCGAGACGATGGTGATCTTTTGAAGGGAACCTCTTATATGTGTGCATTTTTTTTCTTCAAAATTGCATTGGGAAAAATAGATAATATAAGTATAATTATTATGAAATATATTATAATGTATAACATTTTACAAATTATCATCAAAGGGTATCTACTAAAGTTGTTCTGTTGTGCCCGTATCAGCACAGATCGCTGATCTGTAATTCTAGATTTAGAAAACTCAGTGGTAACAGCACTAAATGACGGACGGACAACTCGTGAGTGTTCTTTCCTTTCTGGAATTCTGGACCTTTTGGGTGTTCCGTAATACTGTCTCAGAACATAAAACCGTAAGAACATTGTTCAAATCATTACTGTACAGTATTTACTCCTATACCTGATATCTATACGACACTACGACTTCAACTTCAAAGTACCTATCGTGTATCCATGTAAGTACAATTAGGAATTTATTATTAGGACTTTTGCATAATCAACCAAAATTATTGTTTTTGGCTACCATATATCTATGTTGACCGTGACCAAAACTACCTTACAACCGAGTAGGATGGTTGATGGCCATATGGTTGACGACCACCGTGAATACTTGTCCGTTTAGGTGATATACTTATACACAACTTTAACCATCAAACCATAAGATAACTTTCTTAATTTTTAATGTTTGAGTTCGAGTTTGATAAAATATTTTAAAAGTTCAGTGCCGTTTGGGTTGGAATAATATAATGTACAGATTCAGTTCGGTTCAGGTTCGTTGATTTTTAAGAAAAGTTCGGTTCTGTTTGGCCTTAAAAATCAGGGTTCATAACAATACTACTAATTTTAAATTATGGATATACCTTTGACATCGTTTCCCAAAAGTATATTTAGATTATGAGTGAAAGCGATAAATGTATTGGTTTTATAATGATGTTTATTATTATTATATTTGTATATATATATATATAATGTCTACCAGAAATATTGATCGATTTTTTCCGAAAAATTTAACAGGAGGTTTTAAAGTTTTCAGTTTGAAAAGTTGCTCACGGCAGATACAAAAAAAAAAAAAAACATATTACAGTAAAATCAATAGATCCTTCAGTACGCTCATAATTTACCAAATCAGCACAAATTTTAGTATTACAAATACATTTCTCGATCCGCTCAATGAAGCCAAGTCTTGTGATCGATAGGTTTTTTACCGATTTTTGCTCCCCTCCCAAACGTGATACAAAATTTAAAATTGATATTATCGCGAATTTTGTATATTTTATATACATTCACCAAAAGACAGCACATACTTCAGTGACCGTACACCCTATGACTTGGCACCACTGGCTTTCTTAAAATTTAAAAAAAGATAAATTCAATTAAAAAATCACGTTTTCTTTTATTTTAGCTTATAGGTAATTTTATAGGTAATAATAATAAGACGACGTGTACCACAACAAACATAATATTATAAATCATCAAACTCGAAACTATACTATTACATTGCGATAAATTAATAAATACATGACACGAATAAATATTATAATACATAATTTATAGGTATTCACTATCAAAAAAAGAAATTTGATAAATTTTTTTGGGAGGGAAAGGGCTAAAAAAATCTTTATTCTTAAATTAGGCTTTTTATATAAAATACCTAAAAAAAGTATTCAATAATGTTAAAGAGCTTTTGAATGATTTCGGTGAGGGACTAAGTCTCTCAAAGCTCCTTAGTTCTTAAAATCTCTGCCTATGGCCACCATACTGCCTTAAAAGGGTATCTCCAAAAATTTAAATGTTTTTTTTTCTTTTTTTATCACATGGTATAATTCAAATTTACTACATAAGACATAAAATTAAGAATAATATTACAAACACTCTTTGTAATAAAATTTTATTGTTGAGGTTTATAAATTGACAGCATAGTAATCACAGAAGAGTAGGTACTTATAAATATAAAAGTGAATAGAAAGCAGTCAACAGTTTTTTTATAAAGGTTACGGACATAAGGTATGGAATGTAATGAACTCTTACGATCTTCCTTACATATTTATTAACAACTTGTTTTAAATATTTTAATACTTAAATTTATTTTTGTGAGTCTTTTGTTACGGCGCTTTTTTTTTTTTAGACAAAACTAAATGAGTATTGTATGATAAACGAGGATATTTTTTGTACATTCTTCATTTTTTCCAAATAATGATAAATAATAATGCGATTTTGCCAATATATGCCTATGGTAAATAAAAAGAAATTATTTCTATCAGTATTCCGTAGCTCACAGATCCGAGATTGTTATAAAAGTTTCTTATATTTTTTACTTCTTCTTGTTACTGATCAATTTATAACGAAAAACTAGCTGAGATTTGTTTAGAAAAAAATATCCAAATATAAAAATACAAATACAAACAAAATTTTATTTTAAACGTGTTTTTCTGGAAGTATTAAAAAAAGTATGAGAAGACAAAATAATTATTAAAAAACTTTGGTTCGAATACAGGACCACAGAATATACTGTAATAAAACCACTGAGGTTGGATTAAATTGCTCTATGCATATCAATGGTGGGTTTAGTTCTTTGCCTAGAAGAAGGGGCAATAATTTTTAATATATATTACTATTTTTAACTACTTATATTATTATATTATTGTAAAAACATGGAAATTTGAGAAACTTTTTTTAAAAGTAATGTTTAAATAAGCTTATTTCTCGTAACTTCAATGATTTAAATGTCACAGAACCTATTTGGATTTACTGTTATAAAAAGGCTCCTGTTTTATGAAAACATACCATATATTATAATTTGGAATATTGCACATTAATTTGGACAAATTATACTTCAAATCAAATTGATATGAATTAGTTCAGAATATAACTTTCTACGATTTATCTCATTTAACATTTATAGGCCTTCCCATGGTTCGTACAAATTAGTGTTAAAATTTATAAATCTTACTCCGCTTAAAAATAAACGCACTTTATTATTATCTAAATTTGTACATAATTTACTTATTGGGATGGTCGATTTTCAAGAGCTCCTTTCTCTTATTTGTTTCAAAACAAACTTCCATAACATCAGAAATAGTGATTTATTCTATCCCATACCCTATAAAACAAACTATAAGAAAAACAGTCCCTCTAATATCTTAATGGCTGCGGATATTTCTATTCCTTTTGATTATGTTTAGCACGTCTTATTTTTATATCTTCTTAGTTGTTATTTACCTATAAATCTTCGTTTTTTTATCTGTAACTTAGCAATTTCTGTTAGTATCTTAACTTCTAAATTTTTTATGTTTATGTCATCTTGCTGTATATTAGTGTAAACATACTATGTATTATTTTTACTGTGCTTACGTTTTAATATGTTATAGGACTTAAATCCGTTTATATGAATAAATAAAAATATGTTTTAAACCATAAAAAAGTGGAAACACATCTTTTTTGCTTCTGAAAATGATAAAATAACTTTATACAACCTATTATAACCAATAATATCATTCTAACTATGATTGAAGATACCCCTTTTAGCATGATAGTATAATATGTACGTAATATTAATATTGTATTATATTATATTTTAAACTACCTGAAATTATCACAAAACGCTTGTCTACACATTTATTATCTACTCGTATTATAGTTATAATAAAATACACAGTACGATCATATATTATTTGTGTGTAAATAAGTAAGTAGGCTTATAAAATTATTTATAATAAATATCTCTACATCAATTGGAAAACACAAATTATGTTATAGAAATCAATACATCTATAATAAAATGAGTCAATTTAATATTAATGATTTTGTACATTCGCTTATTCGTAGGTATTTTTTAAATAACGTCATTAATTATTGTATCTAATTTCATTATAGTGTGAAACAAAAATCAATAATATAATATTATCATAGTGATTAGATTATTACTTTTCCATCTTTGTACACAAACACAAACATAATAATTTAGGTAAATACATTTTAATATTATAATATGTACACAAATATTTAAAATAAACATAATATTGCAGCAACCGACCCGCGGTCATCTCATGATAATATAAATCAAACGATAAACCTAATAATATTAATAGTTTATTACCTATATAATATTTTATAAATTATTTTAATGGACCTGAACATTTCGTCGTAACCGTTTCGTTACCAATCATTTAACAGCAGTTTTGAACGTAGGAAGGATTAACGGGGAGGGTGGTTAACATTCTTTTACTAAACGAATGTACATATTTATGTTTAGAATGGCAGGGCAATTTAAATTGGCGGTGTGTTATGTTAAATAACTAAATATTGCATTTTCGATTTAATGATTATCGTAGTCTAATGATAGGTGACGGACTATATTGAAGATGATTTTTTAATCGTTTTTGAAATTCTTAATGAAAAGTGGAGATCATGAACATATAATAGTAGAGAGTTAGAAAACATAATACATATTACTAGTTTTATAAAATATTTAGTCTTGCAAACTGCAATATCAGGATTGATGTACCTATTTTTGGTAAATTAATTAATTAAAATAAATTATAAGTACATTATAATATTAAATTCATATTTTTACAAATTGCGTAATATTTTAATTATAATTTATAATAATTATAATTATCATCAGTTTTCATCGAGCTATTAAAGTATTTTCATTTAAAATGGCTTTTCTTGAAGTTTAAAGTATTTACTTCTAGAGCATTGGAAATTGCTAGATGGCGTTAAATGTTAACAAATTTTAACCCCCTATTATCCCGTTAACCCTTCCTACACTAGTTCAAAATTGCTGTGAAACGGCCATGACCGAAAAATCCTAGATCCTTATAATGTTAACATATAAATTAGTACAATCATTATAATAATATGTTATACAACCTTGGCAGTAGAACATACGGTTCAGATTATAATAATATAGATATTACATATACCTATATAACATTATACAATTTTGTAAACGTGACTCATGAGATTATCATCTAATAAATAGTAAAAATAATTGTAAAACATGCGAATAGTAATTTTTTAAAAATCTATAACAATAATAATGTGTTTTGGGTCCCAAAAGCTGAGAATTAGATGACTTACATCCCCAATATTTGTATACATTTGTAGTAGGTGGATTGCGTCATAATTGTGATTCAGCCAATTAGCGTTTCCCAGAGGACATCACGAAAGGGTATTTTTTTAGTGAACATCTACTGCGTGATTACTACCCCCATCCATGTCCATGTTGAATATTTTTGTAATTTTTTTTGAAAGTTAAAAATTGCGCTATAAATATATTTTTTTTAAATTAAAAAACACTCGAAAATTAAAATTTTTTTGAGTACTTCGAAAAAGGAATTTTCAATGATATTACATTGCTTTTTACCAACTTAGTTACTATTTTAAGGAAAAGCTATTTAAAAGTTCGAAATATCCGGCAATATGGTACTTTTGTTTTATTTATCAACCTAATCTATTGAACGATTTAGAATATAAAAAATTACTTATTCCTATACTACATTATTTTAAATTAAATTATTTAAATTTATTGTAAGTTATACAATTTTGATGTGATCACACGTTATATAGACATAGCTCGAATATAATACAATATAATAAATATGGTACAAATTATTGGTTTAAATTTATTTATTAAATCGGTTAAGTCAGTAAATTACGTAGATCTTTGATAATTTAAGTCAATGATAGCAGTGAGCTGCTAGTCATATCAGTATAGCTGAATTATTTGAAGGTTAAGGAAAAAAATTGTAGGACTTTATTATTAACAGAACGTAAGTGTTCTAATAAAAAATGAAGTCCGACAATGGTGTACGTTATCACCCCTAATTTTTAACTGTTACATCAAAAAAGTTATAATTATAATGAATGCAAAGTGTATCTGAAATATCTTGTGTTGTGATATTTAAATCAATGTATCGAGTATTTAGATATTTATTTTTAAATATTTTTTCCATCCCTAGTTGCAGGCCATGTAGGTATAGTTTTACAAAAGTTTTACGTTTAGATTATTTATTGTTATAGTATTTTATTTCATTCGTTTATATTTTAATTTAAACGACTCAATATATAGGCAACATAGAGGCAAACATATAGAAGCATCAGAAGCAAACGAACAAGTAAACGTGATGTGCATTTCGAAGCTATAGCTTTCCGAAATTCAGTTCCAAAAAAAAAAATGGCTGATGACATGAGGTTTGAGTGACATCGATTGTAAATTAAACCCATATAATGGTGCACATCAACCTGAATATTTGTAGAAAGTATAGTGGAACCATCATAAATAATTCATTAGTTAAACTGATCGGATACCGAGCATAATCAATCATGATTGGTTAAAATCCGGCAGTGCTTCTGGGTAACGCTAATATAATATAATACATAGGCTAAATCGCAACCATATTGACATTAGTCAGATAATAGTTTGTAAAAATATTTGAGACACAATTCACCTATATGTATATATTGCAACACCAAAGTGATAATTTTTTTTTTTTACCATCGTATTCAAATTCTATTTTGATGATAATATTATAGTAGTATTGTAATATTAATTATTACATTGTAGACAGTACCTATATAAGATACAAATTAAGTAACTTTTTTCCGAAAAACATACTGAGTTTTCTGATATTTCACTGATCAGGGCATTTTTAGCGAACATCCACTGCTTTAAAATACCAACTCCCTTAAAAAATAAACTTTACGAATAGATAGACCAAACCTCACCCTTAAATTTTGAACTTTCCTCAGTTACCTTTCCCTCACCAATGATAATATTTTGCAACATAATATTATGTAAAAAATAATTTAATTTATATTTATATAAGTGACAAAATCTATTAAATCAATCATTAGTATTATCATTTATTTTCTAGTGGAGACACAGTGAGCAAAATCTTGCTCTATGACTGAGTGTTCAATGGGCTTTATGGTGTGTCCATTATGGTATAGGAAAAGTTTTTAGAAAATGTTCTGCCACCGGTTAAAATCCACATGGTACAAAGCGTAATATTAATATCAGTTCTGGTAGTAGTTAATCAATATGATTATGATTAACGTTAAAACAATATTATGTAATAGGAACTAATGAAAAATAAATAATACCAGAAAGACAAAAGTAAACCTGTTCAAAACCAATTTATACTACATAATTTACTAAACACTAAATACACAGTAATATTATAAGTGAAATAGTTAAAATAAAAAAGAAACAATTATTTTAAAATATGCGTTTTTTATTAAAAACCACGTAATTTTATATTTAATTTTTGTCTATATTGAACCTACCCGTAATTTCGTATTTTTGAAAAAAAAAAATTGTTTTATCCATTAAGCGAGTTCTGAATGGGAAATTCAACAAAGAAATCATTTTTTCCTCCACACACACCAAACATTTCAAACCCTATTCATCAATTTATGTATTATCGCCGACTCCTGTATTTCATCGGTTTACGTAAGTCGTAAATTTTCCCTATGTATTTAAAAAAAAAAGGAATTGTTTGTTTCTAAATCTAAAACTATACTTTCTTTTGTTTAGAAAGCGGGGTATTGAAATATTGCGATACACCTGTACTTATTTTGTTCAGGTTATTAGAAATAAAAAATAGTAATCATGTATAAGACATGTTTCGTTTAATGAAGACATAAATGTGCATAAGGGCATTAAGGTATAATATCAAATTCAATTATTAAACAGTTTCGATATTTTCACCGTACACGTACTAATAATATATGAAATGTCTAAAATTGTGGTATTAGTATATTGTGTAGAGTAATATGTCAATCAATAATAATCAATCGCTGTGATCAAACTGAGGGGTTTTTATTGTTTTTCAAACGTAAAACGCAGATGGCTGTGGTTATCGTGAGTTGTTTCAGTACTTCATCATACCGACACCTAACCTAACCTAACCTAACCTAACTTAACCTAACCTCGAGATCGTCAGTACTGCTGCAAACGGGAACAGTCCTGCAACAAAATGGCGTTCCGTGGCTGCAGGGATCCGGCAGCGATTACCGCCGTCTGCAAGTATGATGGTGAAGGGGTGCATGCGGTCTGTAGGCCCCGGACGTGTGACGTATGTGGTAGTGGCGGAGGTAATGGAAGTGCGGTTAGTGGCGTCAGTTGCGTTGGCGGAGGTTGTGGAAGTGCAGGTCGGGTGATCTGTAAATGCTCACGGCTAATTCCGGACTGCACCTGCGGTGGATAAGGGGCGTCATGAAGTTTCCGTAAGTGCTTCTTCAGATCAAAGTTTCGGCAAAACCCTTTGCCACAGACGTGACACGTGAACGGTTTCTTGTCATTGTGCGTGTGCATATGAAAAGTCAGGTTGTACACCTGTTGGTCGTAAAACAAAATTAAAATTAAACGCAGTTCAAAATAGACGCACCATATTACAGAAAATAAGTTTGACAAATATCTGACTGATTCAGTAACTTGCTAAGATATTTAATATTCTATTCTAGAAAAGTAAAAATATACCTATTTGAAAAAAAAAAACTAGCAATATATACGGGGAAAACGAGAGAAAGTAGCTAAAGATACGGTATGGGCATCCACACCAAGCGGATATAAGAAGAAGCGATGAGATAGGCGAGTCGTGTGTAGATGGAATTCTGTAAGAAGCGATAAGCCAATTAAAGAGTGGTTATAATATATACAGGGATATAAGAGATTGTGTAGTAGAACAATAAATTGCGATGAACAAGCTGTAGACAAGGTGAGAATAAAAGTGGGATAAAGGCGAATTGTATATAATTTATATGCGAATTATTTTTGTTTAGATTCTGATCATTCGAAATTTGTTTTTTGTCTACCTCGAGTCTGCTATGATAATATTATGTTATAGTCAAACGTCCCAAATGATATATGCGTGGTAATCTCTAAGCTGGGTGCACGTATACCTGGTGGAACGCCTTGTGGCACACGGTACACTTGTACGCCTTTTCCACGCTGTGCGTGAGTTTGTGGTTCTTGTAGTTGCCCTTCTGGTGGAACCCTTTGCCGCAGTACTCACACGTGTACGGTTTGTATCCAGCGTGTATTCGCGTGTGCGTGTTGAGCGTCGAGCTCCTGTTGAACGCTTTGCCGCAAATGGCGCACGTGTGCGGTTTCTCCTCTGTGTGTATGATCTTGTGCCGGCACAGCGTGGACGCTTGCCGAAAACCTTTCCCACATATCTGTGAAACCGAAACCCTCTGATTATAGTTTTAATAATAATAATAATAACAACATTATGTCAGTTTTGAGTGTGTATAGGTAATAGAATTGGTTATAAATATTATATTTATATTCATATAATTTATACCTATATTTATAATCAATGGTAATAGGTAAAAACCTAAAAGGCATACATATGACATGTATTATATAAACAACAAGATGGACAAATTTTCCTATCAAAGAAGACCGTGTTTACATTTTGTTATTTATTATTGTATTTATTTTGTTTAATGATAAGAGCTGAATTCGTATTACGTATTTTATAAACTAGTATAGTTTAAAATTAATGCTCATATTGTTTAAGTACTGTAAAGTAATAAACTTTGACAACTATCACGTTTTATTAGATTTGGTCAATGATTTCGATAATTCGATAAAATATCGACACTGTGCTTGAAAATTCTACTACTAAATATCAAATAATAAAATGCTATTTATTAGAATTTTTTAAAGTTTTAAACTGATAGAAACTAAACTAATTGATGACAATTATCTAATCTAAAATAGAATTTCATTATCTTTGTTATCTTGGAAGATATTACAATGTAATAGGCATATCTTCGTTGGACATTCTGTATATACGTATTTATATTTGAAACCGCTAATCGTATAATTAAAATACCTACAATCAATTTGCATTTATTAATTGATAGGATTTCGGTAAATAATTCAAAATAGGTATTTAATAATATATTCATTTCAATAATTTTTTTGATTTAACTCCTTTAGGTTTATATTATGTATACATATATATTTCGTGTTAGAAGTACGTATACTGTATGGAGAGTTAATTTTCAAGAGTTAATAATGTTAAAAGTTTCGGATTTTGTGCGGTGTTTTTGCACGCGCTTTTCATTATTCCGATATGTTTAAGTGGTGTCATCGAATACGGTCACGGATGTAACGGTGGGGTTGGTGTTGGTGAGGAGGGTTGTTTAGGTACGAACAGAAAGGGTGCGTGGCGTTGTAGAGAGATCAAAAAGATCGTACAAGGGGTAGACAATACGACGTCTGTGATTAGTGAAAAATCTTTTGTGACAAACGAGTTTTTTTTTTAACTCACGGAACTGATTTTTTTTTACACACAGATTGATTTCGACGTATATACTTTACATATATTATGTGTATAATGTACAAAATGCATTATGTATATATTCAGAGAATTGGTGTTAAATAATATTACGATTTATGATTAATACGATTAAAGACGAAGTTTTCAATATGTCCACTATAAAATAAATTATACTATATGTATAGTATAATATAGGAGAGTAGGCCTCAACTCAAAGTCGCAACCGGGGTGGGGGGGAGTTATGAATTTCAAAAAAGTGATGTGTATGCCACTGTTGCAGGTGCATAGTTTATATTATAATATATAACTTAGTTTATTTACTGTTATTTGTTGGCAACGATTAATCATTGTAAACAAAAAAGTCATAGACAATACTCGAATTACAATTGAAAGAATAAAAAAATTATTATCAAAATTGTAAATAGGTAGGAACGATAAATGATTATACGATACATGTTTTTCCTCTTATCTATCGTCGCGTGTTGGTAAGTGTTATCGAGGGGTCAAAATGGGAGTATTAAGTTATCGACATTTTAGTATCACTATCGACAGTTTTAACACAAATATTTGTTTGGCTAACGAATATCTATGATACAGAATCGCTTTTACTGATAATATTCGATAACAACATTTTCGATAGCTTAATAGATTGAAATTTGTCGTTAAGCACCGTTAAGCACGGTATTACAAAATACCGCTACTGAGCGGAATTCGGTTAATCGTGTTGCTTTAAAAACTTTACTAATAAAATTCGTATAAAAATAAGGCGTCCTAGGATAATGAGGACGGGTGCAGCCACTGATAAAGGTAATTGCTTACGAAAAAACGATTCTGAGTGGAGTTCAGTTGATAGTGATGCTTTATCAACAATATATATGCCACATTATAATAAATTAATTAAATAGGCTCTATATTTTTTTTTTTAATAATATTTGTTTAATGTTGTACCGATTTTCCCGGTTTTCCTACGTTTTTCCCAGTTTTTCATATATGCTGGGAAAAGTCCAGATAAAATCAAAAAATGACCTCCTTAAAGTATCCCTCATACCGATTTCCTTTCAGAAAAGGTGCTACATGTAAAAATCGGAACAAGTCTTCTAGTAGAAAAGTTGTCCATAAATAAAAAAAATAAAATAAGATAATAAACATCATTGTATCACCAATACATTTTTCGCTCCGCTAAGAATCTAAAACAGCTGATACTGGACCTGTGCAGCAACTTTTGTAGGTAGGAAGTTGGGAAAGTAAGATACATAAATTTATTTAATTTATAGCTGTATGCAACGATAAACCATTGCTAACGAAAAACGATTCTGAATTCTAAAATTATTAATTTTAATAATAAATTATTAATCGTTATTTTCCTTTTTTTCCGACAGTTTACCACAGTTTTTCCTAATTATTACGAAAACCGCTTGGAAAATTCAAAAAATGACCTTCTTAAAATATTGTGTAAATAAAGTTACCTTTCAGAAAAGATGCTACAATTGATATATTGGAGCAAGATTTCTGGTATAAAAGTTTGCACAACATATCGAGGGGTACTTTTTAATTAAAATAGTCCGAGCGAGCGACGGTTTGGGTCTCTAGGTGCACCCAAAGATCAAAATGCATTTGTTTTCGTAAATTATGTTTGAATTTGCGATCTCTGGGATGACAAAATGTCAGTATAACACTAGACTATGACATATATACTACAATAAAGTAATTATATAATATTTTAACATAACACATAATATATTCGCATAATATCAAAACTTCAAAAAGCTATAATTTTGAAACTAAGTCAGTCGTCCAAATTTCAAGTCTCTACAAATATTTTTATTGAATTACAATAAGTAACAATTGAAAATAATAAAAGTATTATTTTCGTAAATTTTTCCGTTCTTTTTACGCATTTTTTTGGTTTTGCTCACTTATTTAAAAAACTAAAAAGAAAAAAACGATTCTTTTACTTACTAACTAAATAAGAAAAATTAATAAAAATGTTCTTTCAAATATCGAATATTGTGTTCATTTTACCTGGCGAAAAAATTGTATGGATTCAAATCAAAAAGTTTCTTTAAAATTTCAGACAAACAAATAACATGAAAAAACAATAATAATTTGAAAATATTATAGTATTTTACCACGTTAGTATGCCACGTTATTAAAATAGCGAAATTTTACGTTTCTGTGATACTGTTTCCCACACGAATAAGCACAACAAAATGGAAACGAAAGCGAGTTTTTAAAGCTAGACATTTTTTAACTGAACCGTTCGGTAATATTATAAAAATAAAACAATCTTATACGATATATTATTTTTTTCAAAATAAATCACGACCAAACGCAAGACTACAGTTCAAGCAGGTAGAAGTACAAAGGACTTCTGAGACTATTATTATTATACCGATAAGAATTCTATTCACATACAGGTACTCAAGACAATGTCGTGATATTATGCCTTTTTTCTTTTGAGACGGTTTTTTATTTATTTATTATTATTATTTTTTTTTTTGAAATATTTTAACTCAATAACCAGCAGTATGTAGGTATACGGACCGCATTTCGTGTCAGTAGCCATGCAAACGTCATTAGAGAGCACTCGAAGACCTGCAGAATAAGGAATAAAAGAGATGACGGGAACCGCAGTATCCTCAACTTATCGTGTATATAGTCGTTAAAGTATTAATCCACTAATTTGGTTTGGCTTTTTAGTGTCAAGGGTGTATTGTAAAAATGCACGTGTGTATATACCTCTTCCTACGCTTTACTTACATACCCTTTGTTTGGTCGTTTGCGACAATGAGTGTTTCGTTGTGCCGTGACGGTTACATAAAATATCGGTATTTTGTTATTAATATTAATACCGTTAGGAAAGGCTTTATTTTTATTATTTGTTCGTTCTCTATCTAATAAGATTTTTTTTGTTTTAAACAATATTTGTAACGTTGGGTTGTCTGCATAAAGCGTTCAAATACAGGTATAATATCATGTAATACCAATATTATAATATTCATTGTTGAAACCGACCGATTCGAAATGTAATGTTTAAGTTTAGATTCTAAGGGTCTATCGAAACGACTTAATTTTTTGTTTATTATTGTTTTCTTTCTCTAAGTACCTTTTTGTAATTTACGAGTTACGGATATTTAATAATGGTGGACGACGATGTACATATTATGTTAATGCATTTTACCAACAAAAATTTACAATTAGCATTTAATATGTTTGCGAATTTGAGAATATACATGGCGCAAGAGGATCATTTTATTGGTTAGTCGTAATTTAAATTACAAAAATCATTGCCTATTATGTAAGGTGTCAGCTGAAGAGCTTATGCCTGATACGTACACTAACTCCGTGGGCTCACACGAATTTCCTCCCACCTTACCCTTGAGAAGCCTCCTGATTTCAAAAATATCATTCACTCGAACTGCGTCCTAATTTAGGTAGTAACCTTATATCGGAATTTATTTCTATTCTAATTTTTTTTAAAACTAAAAACAATTATACATCGGTGTTAGGTACACAAGATTAGTATACATATCATTAGATATTAGTACACGGTATTAGGTAATAAGTCGATGTCAAAAAAGCAAATACTAAATCGATATAAATCGTATCAAAATCGCGTGTATTAAAAATCAATAAAAAAAATATTTTGATAGTCAACTTACTTATCTACTGATAATCAGTAATTAATAAGATTATTGGATTCGAGAAATTATTCTGTCTGAAAACTACTATAATATTTATATATTATTATAAATAATAAAAATAATATTGTGAACGTTACGGAAATCAATGTAATAATCGATAGTACACGTTAACAGTGGTGGATTTAGCGTTAGGCAAAGTAGGCAGTTACTTATGACGGCAAATTTTTAGGGGCGGTAATTTTACGCCAATATTTTATTGAGGATACTAGTTTTTTTTTTAGATTTTGTAAGGTAATTTTTAATCTTTACAATTGAAGGAAACTACCTACATATAGTTAATAGTAATACATTTTCATATTCCAAAAGTTAATTTAATTTTATGCATATTTATCAAGTGTTGGTTATTACACACTACGTATACAAAGATAAAACTTTTTTCTATCAGAATGATAAAATTGTAATAATATTTTTCTTCTTGACTATGAAATAGAGGGCGGACGAATAGAGAATAGGTATTATCCATGTGTTTATACTGATTAGACATTCGATTATTTTCAACATAACTTTTAAGGCGGATAGACTTAATATTCGGATGTTATTGATGAGTAAACATAATATTTGTTTGATTAGAACAGTTTATAAGATTTATTTTTTTTAGTAGTTATGTTGAATATGTACTTAAAAATTCGTTTTCTCATTAATAGGTTTAATGGGCTGGCAAAATAAAATTTGCCTAGGGGCGGCAATTGTATAAATCCGTTTCTGCACGTCAACTATCGATATATTAATTAATAATCTAGGTATACTATAAGAGGCAATTCGAGTGAAAAAAGGTCACCTACCTAAATTTGGGAGGTAATTCGAGAGTACCCAACTCCATACATGATTGTACTAAAAACTACTGCTGGGTAATCTATTAAAAGAAAGATACGTAATAAATATTATTAATTAATAATTAATAATTATACACCTTTATGAACATGCATAATCTAATTATGTGAAGTTATTAAGTAAAGTATTATCCTTGGTAGTTTCTTCAAAATCCAATGAAATATCTATGCGTCAATTTGTTATTGTTAACTAAAGTACATTAACTTTTAATTTTGCAGATGCTATATTGATAAATGAACTGTAGTTGAGTAAAATATTTATAAAACAATTTTAAAAGAACAAATTTGTTAACGAAGTTGGTTTATTATCTATTGTTATTTATATATTTTATTATTTTAAAGGTATCGATTATTTTTGATTCTTTATTAGTGGAAGCCACCAGAAAGATATTGGAGAATAAAGAGAATAAAAGAACATATATTAAATACAAGACCTTACAAAAATAAAAAAATAAAACAAAAAATGAAATATTAACTATCCAACAATCTGTGACCCGTAAACAAATGTTGTCAGCCAAATAAATTATTATTTCATTGAAAAATTAGCCCTTTAGTGATAATTATCACTGATAATATTTTGATTATCGAAAATCATGGTTTCGATTGCTTTGAAAATATAATCCTAGAATACACATTTTCAAATATGAATCATTGAATAATATGCCCCTAATGGGCCTGGTGGATTTGGAGAAAAGGAGGGAGGTGTGAAACAAAGTGATAGCCCTACAATGGATTTTTTTTTATTCAACTCGTATAGTATCCAACGTCAAAACTTATAGAAGGTGTGTAGTGAGTACATTAGCCCAATTAACAATTTTTAATGATACAAGTTGATACATTTTTAATTTTTGTTTAATAATTAATATTTAGTTTCGCTATTCAAACAAAATTTTTAGATAGTCTTTAATAATGAAGAGAAAAATGATCACGATTTAAGATAATAATGTGATTGCCTGACGAACTATGATAAAATGGTTAAATGTTTCGTGTCCACAGATTTATAAAACAAATTAATTGGGTTGGTAAAACGAAATTCTCCCGGACCTATTAAAATTCAGAATCTACCCTTGATTTTAGGTATTTTTTAGTAAAATAATTAAATTAAATTAAAAACCCTATTAAAAAGGAAATTATTTGGATATAAACGTGACTTATTTTTAAAATACAAGTGGATAAACAATTTTTACTTTTTTTATTTAATAAAAATAATTTGTTCACTTCTGGTTTAAATGTGTATGCTGGTTTAAAATAAAAAAAAGAGCTGATACTGGGGATGGAAGTGGCCACTGTTGTGGATAAGAAGTTGGGAAGGTAGGATACATAAGGTTATTTAATTTATATCTGTAAGCAACGATAAACCATTGCTCGACGAAAGACGATTTCGAGCGCAGTTCGATAATATATAATTTGAAGTGTCGTAATTATATATTAGTAAAATATATAATGCCTGCTTAATTATTTTACTATAATATGACATATATATTGCCGACACTATCAACTGAACTCCGCTCAGAATCGATTTTCGTTTAAATTTGATTTCAAAACGCTTATTAAAAAAAAAAAAAGAGTCGTCCGATGATTTTGGAAATTCGACCTCGTCTAGGTAAGTCCAAAAAAGTATTATTACCAAGTTTCAAGTCTCTACGTGTGTTTATATTCGAATTACAGCAAAAAACTCCCGAAAATTAAAATTCATTAAAAGCTTAAAAGTGGATCAAAAGTTTTGGCGATGATACCGTAAGAAAGTAAATCAAAAAGGCGTCTTGTGTATTTCGATTAAATCATTTTTTCTGTTAGAAAACGTCGTCCGTATTTTTATAAAATAATGAAATCATGAAATACGTTTTCCTAAGTTTTTTCCCACTTAAGTGCTTCAATTTAAAAAATGGCGTCGAAAATCAAAAAAGGATCTCTTTAAAGTATAATCTAGAAAATTTGAGTTTCTTTGTGCCGTAATTTGAAAAAAAAACGTAGTTGGTTTTTTAAAATTATTATGAAAAATAATTTAGATATCAAACAATAACTGTCTTTGTCAGTGGCTATGTGTTAAAAGGAATAAAATCGATCTTGTTAATTGTTGTTTTTCTGTTGGAGAAATATTTCTGGAAGAAAACCAAAAGCGTAAAAATTTAAAATAATGAAATTTTAACTCCAAAAATATGTCAGTTTTCGCTCTAAGTTTTTTCCTAATTATTATGAAATCACCTTAGAAAATCGAAAAATGACTTTCTTTGTATGCATCTAGACCCAAAATGTGACAAAAAAGGGCTCTTGTCATTATTTAATCGAAACACAATAGAATACATAAGTTACAAAATTATCGTAAATATTTGGTCATAATGTATGATCTAAATGTTATAGAGCATGTTGATAATTTAGGACCAACACATTTTATAATTGTCTAAATAATAATTTCAAGAAACATTTTTTCCAATTTGTATATATCTTTTTGTTTCACCTATTTTAAATAATACTTGTCTTTAATAAACGGTTATTTTTTAAATAAAAAGAAAGAAAGTAATTTCAGTCAGTCAGTTCCTTAATTTATATAATGTTAAGTGTAATTACTTAATAATGTATTTTGATATTTTTATCAAAGCTATATAGACACTGACGTACCTTGCAGATGAACGGCCGGGCTCCCGTGTGCACGGGCATGTGTCTGGTCAGGTTGTAATGTGCATAGAACACTTTTCCGCAATGGTTACAAGTGAATGTCTTGGCTGGGGCGCCGCTGGTGGAGACAGTTGCTGCAGTGGTGGCAGTGGCTGCGACCGGTGACGGTTCTTTGGACGGTGGCCTGCTCGGCTTTGCTGCGGTACCGACGGGTCGGGGCGCTGGCGATGAAATCGGAGGTAGCTGTGGCAGCGGCGACGTAGTTGGCGGCGTAGGTGGTGGAGGCAGTACGGATGGATGCGCCGGCACTGGGGGCAGAAGTCGGACATGGTGACGGTTCCTTTCGGGACGCGAAACGCACGGCAGCCTGGAAGAGGCGTTGGCAGTAAGCTGCTGGTGCTGATGGTGCTGATAGTGAAACTGCTGCAGTTTCGTCGGGGCGGCCGGTGGATAGGTCACGAGGACTTCGTTGACGGCGGTGGGCTGCTGCTGGTGATGGTGCTGCTGCTGGTGGTGCTGCTGCTGCTGGTGGTGGTGCTGAGAGTGATGATGATGAACGCCGTTGGCTGACCCTCGGAAAGCGGCTGGGACGTATTTCTTGAATGCGGATTGAAGTGCGTGGAAATAGTCGGCCGTCGGGCCCGCCGCGGTGGGTTGTCTCCGGACTACGACGTCCGGTTCCATGATGCGGGCGATAGAAAACGTCAGAGAGTCTGTTGACTTCGGACCGTACTTCTTCCGGAAACCGTCCATGTCCGGCCGGCTATTTCCAATCGCGGTCACGGACTCCATGGTAACCGCGTCTGCGGTGAGTGGACGACGATCGTCTACGACACGAAAACATTTTTCGTATTATAACAATTATTAGGCACCTACCTATATAGATAATCGTTAAGTTTCAGGTTCTACGTGGTAGGTAAACTGATGGATCGCAGATTGGGATGGTATGGAAATGTTGAAAAGAAAAGGAGCGACAAAGAAGATAAGATCAGATATGTGTAAACGGAAACCGAGTGGCTAGAATTCATTATGGTAGACACCAGAGCACGTGGAGAAGTAATGGCGATGTGTAAAGATATGCGGTGGGGTGAGCGAGAACAAGAGTAGCCGACTCCATTTGAGGTGATATCATGAAGGTAACTTAAAATGTCAATATTGGCTTGTTTGGATATTTTTAATCAGTATCGAAACGAATAATATTGGGTGTACGCGATTGTGAAAATCGCATACATGTAGATAAGATTAGATAAGATACCATGGCGTTTAAAAGCATCAACTATAATATAAATCATGTATGTATATATATGGAGTAATCTATCATAAGGCACTCATTTTTTCACATTTGTTGGGAAAACTTCTCAGAAAATTGAAAAATGACCTCCCAAAGTACCTCCCCAATAGACTTTTTTTTTTAGAAAAAGTGCTATCATGGTAAATCGGAGCAAACTTGCTGGTAGAAATGTTTTTCACAGGAAAAAAAAGGCCGAAATATTTTTTAACTTATACCTATTTTTCGTACATTTTCCCGTGTTTTTCGGTTTTTCGCATTTGATGAGAAAACTCTTGGAAAAATCGAAAAATAACCTCTTTAAAGTACCTCCCTCTACCGATTTCCTTTTAGAAAAGAGGTTACACATAAAAATCGGAGCAAGATCGTCGGTAGAAAAGTTATCCACAGAACAAAAAAAAAAACGTCATTGTAAAACCATAAGATTCTTGCTCCACTCAGAATTTAAGATTGAATGAAAAAATTTAATACTTTCCAATAAGATATCGCAATCATCAAAATCTCCATGGGACACCTCTATAATAATAAATACCTAAAATCCTTACAGAGCAATAGGCTCTATTTTCGGAGGAAAATTCGACAAAAAACCACTAGTAGAAATTGTGGCAATAATATTGATATGTAAAAATTATAGACCTACACGCAATTGGACCCGTGCAAATTACAGGTTCCATTTACGACAGTATACAGACCTGTAAAGTGTGCGGTAATAATTCTGTAAGACGTTGTAAAACATTTATGTGACCAGTCCTTATTATTTACTTGATAAGGACTTGGCTAAATTTCGGGGGACTTGACACGCTCTTTTTTTGCAACTATGGTCGTCGTCGAGATTTCGTTTAGTCATCAATCATCATAATAAAATAATAACATATAGTCTGCGGAATTAAACGGGGGAAAAAAATACGTCGAATAACAAAAAACTATGCCTGACGTAACTCACAATATACTCATGTTGAGCTATACACAAATAATGTACATATTATAATATTTCAATCCACTTGACGCGCTCGCGTAACCGTCACACAATAATGTACAAGTATATAAAACCAGCAGCGTAATATTTCCACCGCACAATTATTATTATTAGTGTCTCGAGTAATGGGCTTGGGGTTTTTTTCCCCCTCGCCATTCGGAGTTTTGTTTTCGGTGTTTCGACGCCCCTTCGTTGTTTAACGCCACGCACTATATTGTCGCTATTGTCGTGAATAATAACAATAATATGTTGTTTTCGAACGATCGTGGTTTACACGGTATTACCCTACGAACGTTTACGATATATTCCGCACAATATTATACAGAGCGGTCGACATAATTTAATGAGAAACTCATTAGTTCGGAAAGTATTAACTTTTCTAGGAATTTTTTTTTTTTTTTTATATAGGAAACGTTAGAATAGGCGGCTCATAAATGTTAAATTACCGTTTTTTTTTGTCACCCTTATTTTTGGGGGTGAAGCTACTATATTGACTACGGCTAAGTGCTTTTTTAACATTTGTTTAAAACGTTTATACATAATTACGTTTAATAATTAATGTTTAAATAATTTAAAACTGCCAAAAATTAAAATAAAGTGACTAATACCTATGTACTGAAAATATAGATATTTATGTAGTTTCTATATTTATTTCGAAAATATAAATGAAAATGAACGGTTCATATTACTCATAGATAAAGTTTACCTAACCTAACTTAACTTTTCGTTTAATTGTTATTTTTTTCCTAAAACAATAAAATTATGGTAAAATTTTTACATCTGTGAGTTACATAAAAAATGACAATAAAATGTTTTACTAAAAAAAATTGCCCGATTTGTTTAAATAACGTTTTAACAGAAAGTGAACAATTTAAATAATGTTAAATGGTAAAAATAAAATAACGTTTGAACAAATATTATATCGTCCATATCATAACAATAAAATTGCATTACGTTTAAATACTCGAAAATGTAAAAACGATAATTTTTTTTATGCATATTACGTAGGTTATCCCGACACACAATGTCGGGGTAATGATGAAATAATGTTCCACAACTCACGTATTACCTAAACTTTAAAGTGGAACATCTCGTCAATGGAATGACGGAAATTAAAAAGACGTCCTAGGATGATAGGGACGGGTGCAGCCAATGTTATAGGTATAATTTAATGTACATCTGTTAGCAACGATTAATTATTGCTAACGAAAAATCGATTCAGAGCGGAGTTCAGTTGATAGTGTCGGCAATATATATGTCATACTATAGTAAAAAATTAAGCAGGCATTACATATTTTACTAATATATAATTACGACACTTCAAATTATGTATTACCGAACTGCGCCCGAAATCGTCTTTCGTCGAACAATGGTTTATCGCTGCTCACAGACATAAATGAAATAACCTTATGTATCCTATTTTCCCAACTTCTCACCTACAACAGTGGCCGCTTCCCCAGAGTCAGCTATTTATTTTCTTTAAATTAATATTCCATACAACAATGGTTTTACCGCTCCACGTTGCTTAATAGTACCAATACTATGTATACTATTGACACTTTGTCGTGTATGCGATATCGCATTTGTTCTCATATAAGGACTCCACGTACGGTTAGGTTTTTTATTTTCCGTATAACCTTCCATATTGCGGGATGTTCTTGACCAACTAGTTTAGCGAACCTATTGTTCCGACCTTCAAAAATATTGTTGGTTCTGTGACAGTCATTAAGATTAGTTTCATTGACATTCCATACAATTGGTGGGTAATACGGATGAGTAAACGATAATTTATACACATAAATAAAATTGAAGTATGTCTGTAAACTTTTTAAATATTATTATTATTATTGATAGTATAGTTGTTTTGGGGATTTATTTACAGAGATTTTTTTCGGATTATCAGTACAAATATAAGTACACAGGTTACCATTTTGGAATCAAAAGTAAGTAGGTTACTGTGATTTTACCACCGAAAATAATAAGGGCGACAAAAAATAACGGCATTGTAAAATTTGAAAACTGCTTGTTTCTTAAATATTCGAATTACAAATTTCAAAACAATTTAATACTTTTGCGGGATAACGATAGTGTCTTGGCATAATGTTGATCACCCTGTATGCTCGTACTGTATGTTCATTATTACTATTGTTGTACTCGGGCAATATAATAATATAAGTAACGGCGGATTCGGAGATCGGATGTGCTGCATAGATAACGGTGATTTCGAATTGGTTATGGAAATAATAATAATATTACAAAGGGGGCGGGAGGGGGGGGGGTTGTATCGCGAAACGGGAAACAGGGAACGGCCGAAATTTATATGCGTCTTCCGTTTTGCGCGTGGTATGGCAATTACTGGACAATGGTCATTATCGTGTTTAGTTCACGTTTCCGGTTAGTAGGTACCCGTGCACGGGGTGCGTACAGCGTACCTAACCCGTTGTATAATCGTAATTCTGGTTATCGCAACGCGTGCCAACAGTACCTATATAAGAATAATACTGTTATGCGTGTTGTTGGCGAAAAAAAAACAGCAACGGACGATGTTCACTTTTGTTTTTTTAATTTCGATCCTTTTACGCTCGTAGAGGTTTATACTTTATATATTTAATTATATTATATTGTTGAGCAACGTCTGATACACGTGCACAGTACGATTATGTCTTAGCCAGATGCCAACAGTAACATTTTTTATATTATATTATACGATGTATAATATTATTTCCGGTCGGAATAATATTATGCTGTGCCCCATGCGGAGATAAGAGATACTGGGAATGAGGAGCGACTACCCCAAGCCCGTATTTTTGTTAAAATCAACTATACGAAAAAAAAAATTGTATACTGTCGACTATTGAAGACACGTACAAGTGTGTAGTTAGAGTTATCTACCTACAATCTATATACTACAAAGTATAAAATATAAACTTACAAAATATGTTTTCAATACAGTTTTCTGAAGAACTTGTCCACCCCCCTCCCCCACCAAGTCTCCAGATCCGCCTCTGCAGGGAATCGATTTCATTCAATTTTACCAGGGGTTAAAACCGGATTTTATGTACGAACAGATTTCGGGCAATTCCGAGTTTAAACTGAGTTATTTTTCTCATGTCGGAAATGAGCTATGTCGTCACAAATACTCATTAAATTACATCTGCATATTTGGTCTTCGTGAAAACATGGAATTACACAAAAATCCGGTCTCATTAGGCTCTATAATTAATAACGTGCAGCACGTATTTCTTTTTCAAGAAAAACAATACCATTTTTTTAATTAGACGTTTAAATATAAACCAGAGACTTAGCTTAAACAATAAAGTTATTCAAATGGAGTAATAACAGCAAAATATATATTAAGTTCAAATGGTTTCCATTTTTTTTTTTTTTTTTTGGTTTTCAAACATTATTGTAAAACTGGATTGATTATTTGGCTCAAATTAATGAAATAAGAAAAATATACAGCTGTAAAATCAACGATCTATGTTTTAATGTTCGAGTATAAAAAGACATTTTATCGTTCGGGATAAC